TTGCCACCCGGCTTTTAGCTCACAAGATCCAGTCTCCGCAGGAATGGGAAGCCATCCAGGCCCTAACGGTAAGGGAGAAAGTCTCTAGATGGGTTAGGCACAGATTAAAGGTCAGGGTGGGGAGTGTCCTGTTTTGCTTTTTGGCTGTGGAGGCTTTTCCATATTGCTCAGCTAAAGCCCAAGGACACCCAAGCGCTCAGGGCTGGTGGAGCGCTGCCCCAGAGCTGAACCATCTAAGCACAGTGCAGGGATCTTACCCCAGAAGGAATCCATGGGCGTGGCTTAAATTAACCTTGGATCGCACTCAGCATATTAAATTTAGATTAATCAATGAATCAAATAGTCGATTTAATTTGCATCGACTCTTTGATTAGTGGATAAGGGCGCCTCCGCCTTAGAAATGTAGCAAGAGTCCTGCCAGCTCTTGCTACATTTCAAGGGCAGAAGTGCTGTGGGGAGCACGGGGCCAGTTGGGGACTTAAACAGTCCCCCGCTGGCCCCTCACTCCCTGCTTTTGAAATATTCAAGAGGTTCTGGAGGGCTCTTGTACATTTCAAAGACGAAAGTGCTGCCAGTTCCCTGCTGCTTCCCTGCCCCTTCTCCCCATGGAGACGGTGCTGGGGGATCTGGTTTTTAAGCCGGCTTCCCCCAGCACCAGATCCTGCTCTCCCTGTTCCTTGCTGCCTCTCATAGAGGCAGCGGGAGGGGCGGGGGGCGAGGAGTGACTAGTCGAGTGGCTAATTGACAAAGCTTATCGGATAGTCGACTAGTCGCTTACATCCCTAGATCGGGCCCCTCATAGACAGGTCTGAGTTGGTGCCTCTGAGAACTCCCATGTTGTGTGTGTCTCCATTGGATCCTCCCCCTGCAGCACAAAAAGTGAGCATGGAGGTTCACTGCCCCTCTCTCTGGGGCACGGGAGGAAGCCCAGAGGACAATCCCAGCAGCTGTTTCTCCTCTCCCAGGGTCTGCTGTGTTCAGGCAGCCACAGCTGCCTCTGCCCTCAGCCTTTGTGGCGACAGGCCAGTCCCCTCTGTCGGAAGGCTGGCACCTGTGATATGAAATGGAAGGGGGGAATCGGTGTGGCCGAAGCAGAAACACCCAAGAGCCCTTCCTGGCTTGCGGGGTCAGGGTCACCAGGGATGTGGGGCCTGTTTTTTTCCCCTTTGCATCGTGCTAGGGGGAGCTACAGACCGTGACTCGGCCTCTGCTCTCTCAGGTGCTGGAGACCTGCATGAAGAACTGCGGCAAGCGCTTCCACGACGAGGTGGGCAAGTTCCGCTTCCTCAATGAGCTCATCAAGGTGGTGTCGCCCAAGGTGCGTCCTGGGCCACATTGGCGGGGGGGGGGACGAGGCTGGGAGAGCCAGTAAGGGGCGCAGAATGAGGTGGAGCTGGAGTGATTTCCCCACCCCTCGCCCCAACCTGCGCAGATCAACTGCATCTGCTGTCTGTGTGCTCCCCGCAGGAGGCCATGGCAGAGAGTGAATGTACAGGGGGAGGGGGAGCTCTGTTTGCTTGCTTCGGTGTCCCATTGGGACATAGCAGGGCAGCTTCCTGTTGGGCAATATAAACTCCTCTCTGCAGCGGAATCTCCCCGCCTGCACCTTCCCCGTGCAGGGTGAATAGGACTTAAACTGGCCCTTCCTCTTGCTGTGTCAGAGGGCAGCCCTCACTGGCTCGCAGTGCCGGGGCTTTCCTATAAACTGTGGTCTTCAGAGCCTCACCTCCTCTCCCAGCCCCCCGTGCTGGAGATCAACCACAGTTAGGGGCATGTTGCAAGGGCCGTTACTCACTTCCTCCGTTGTCCGTTGGGAGCCATCTCACTTTGTCCTGAGTGGCTGGTGAGGTGTGGACAACCTCTGCCCATCCCTCCCCTCAGTATCTAGGCAGCCGGACTCCCGAGAAAGTGAAGTTGAAAATCCTGGAACTGATGTATAGCTGGACGCTGGGGCTGCCTCATGAAGTGAAGATCACAGAGGCCTATCAGATGCTGAAGAAACAAGGTGAGAGCCAGGAATCTCCTGTGGGGCAAGGGCCATCCTCTGTTGGGGCAGAAGCCGGGTCCTGGCCTCTTCTGCTCGGGCCTGCTCTAGCTGTTGTGTAGGCTGGACAGTTCAGAGGCCAGTTGGAGCAAATGGGCACCCTAACAGTCCCTGGGAGAGGGGGAGAGTCACTGCTGGTCTGACTGGTGTGGGGTGAAGGGGATTGTGACAACTGCCTTCCTCCCCAGCCCCCAGCAGTTGTGACTCCATAAGAGGTGAGATCCCAGGAATAACGGGGTTATGGCAGACCAGGACAGAGGAGGTGTTATTGTGATGCATGGAGTGACTGTGGTGATCTGCTAGTGGGGACCTGGTGATGCTACAGAAGAGACATGGTTGGTGACGGGAGCACCCCACCCCAAAACTGACCCAGGAATGGGTTGGACCAGCCCCCCAAAAAGGTGTCCATTGTGTGAGGCCGAGAGCAGGGCTTCCAGGAGTGAAGTTAGCAAAAGAGCGCTGCCCCAGTGACGTGAGAGCTGGGCCCGGTGATGTCTCTGATCCTCTCCCCGCAGGTATTGTAAAGTGTGACCCGAAGCTGCCAGATGAGGCTCCTTTCTCCCTGCCTCCGCCCCGGCCCAAGAACATCATCTTTGATGACGAGGAAAAGTCCAAGGTGAGGGCTGTGTGCGAGGAGGGGCACAGGATGTGGCCTTCCTGCGTCTCCGCTCCCCCATCTCGGCCCAGGGGGTGGGCGGTGCAGCAGCAAGGCCAGGAGTCTGTTCGCCTGCTGTGTGTTCGTCTCAGGCGGTTAGGGCCAAAGCAAACAGGTAGAAAGATTCCAGCTGTCTTCAGTGGGCTCTGAATCAGGCACTTGGAAAGAAACTTGTTGTTTGACCAGTTGAACCACTAAGGGCAGTACATGGGTACTAATACGGCCTAATGCTGACACTTGTATGAATGAATAGCTGCTGCCGAAGTGTTACCAGGAGGATGGCTCCTCTTGCTGTGTAGCACAAAGTGATCCCAGCTCCGAGCACAGGCTCTCCTTCCCCCCAGGGCACTTATGGCCCAGTCTTTTAACCCTTCCTTGAACCATCCAGCATCGGCCTCCCTCATAGCCAGGACACCAGGCAGATGAGCTGCTGGTCTCTTCCACTCTTGCTCTTAGATCAGGGGAAGCTGGCATGAGACTCCTCTGGCAAGTGACTCCATAGTAAGGCAGCCTGGTGTTACCAGAGTAGCCAGGCCTGGATCCCAGCCTGGCACACATGATGGCAGGGCCCAGTGTTGACTGGGCAAAGTGTTTGTAGAGAAGAGTCTGGAGAAGTGGCCTTCCCCTTTTCCTAAACATCGCCAGTTGCTGGAACAGTTCCTGGGTGATGACTCAGAAGTGGGTGGAGGTGCGAGGAGTCCCTCAGGGAAGAGCTCTAGGTTGGGTGCCAACAGAGAGCTTTACTCCCAGGGCTTATTGATTGAGATTAACAATAGCAATGTTCAAACGTGCCTGTAGCACTCCTAACACGCAATTTGTGGCTCTTTCGCTGGTTAAAGCTGAACAAACCCTCCCTCCCCCAGCCAGCGTAAGACTGGCCATACTGAGTCAGACCAAAGGTCCGTCTAGCCCAGTGTCCTGTCTTCTGAGAGTGGCCAATGTCAGCTCCCCCAGAGGGAATGAACAAAAACAGGTCATCAAGTGCTCCCTCCTCTGTTGCCCATTTCCAGCTTCTGGCAAACAGAGGCCAGGGACACCATCTCTGCCCATCCTGGCTCATAGCCATTGAGCAACCTATCCTCCATGAAGTGCACAGATGTACTAGCACTGTGTTGTGTGGATCGATTTATTTTAGATCCAAGGGAAGCCAGAACACTCCAGAGAGACTTAACCACTTCCTTATTTATTACAAGCTTTAAGCAGTTAATTCCCACCCATCGGAACGCTGTGCACGGCTGACGCCAGTGTGAAGGGTCTCTTACTTCTAATTACAACGAGCGGAACCTGTGGGTCAGTCCCGCTCACCTCCTCCCATCTATTCTTCTTACTAAGCCCATTTTGTAGCAAAGCCAGGCTTGGTGGTTCTAATAATATTTACCAATTGACTACGTATTGTGTAGGATACCTAAAATACCCAGTAACTATTTGGGGTACATCCTGCTACTCAGGATGTTGCAAAAACTACGTGCGTAGTTGACAGTTTTATGGCTGCATCTATGATTTTTGCTTATCAGAAACAGACATGCTAATACCAGGTTGCTTGTCACGCGTTCTTGACACGGTGTCGCATGCCATGCTTAGTCTGCATTGTTATGCAAAACATTCCTGCCTCTCAAAGCTTCCCAGCACCAGACTTGCAACAGGCCAGGCTTTTGCCTTGTTAGAGATCTGCACTGTGGTCAAGGTAGGCATCACCATTTATTGTCAAGGCAGCGCTGTCCCGGCTCCCCTACAGACTGCAAACTGTGCGTACACCTAGACTGAGTTCTGTCAATTGTCGCTTCGCTTTGTTAATCAGGTTTCACTTCCTCTGTGCGGGGGAAATCGTTCTCCAGCTTGTTCTGCCAGGGGCAGACAAGACCTGAATTTCTAATGTAATCAAATGAGGAGGAAAAAAACTTTTTCAGGTAGAGTGTTGCGGGATCCTTTGAGGTTCTTTCTTTACATATCCGAAAAAAGCACACAAAGGCTATGTCTACACTCGCGGCTTCTTGCGTCAGAAATATGCAAATGAGGCTCAGCAATATGCTATGCTTAGCCTCATTTGCATACCTAAGGAGCCGCCATTTTGCGGAAGAGGCTCTTGCGCCAGAAGGAGCTGGCTACACTGCCCCTTCTGGCGCAAGAGCCTCTTCCGCAAAATGGCGGCTCCGGGATGCAAATGAGGCTCAGCAATATGCTATGCTTAGCCTCATTTGCATACCTAAGGAGCCGCCATTTTGCGGAAGAGGCTCTTGCGCCAGAAGGAGCTGGCTACACTGCCCCTTCTGGCGCAAGAGCCTCTTCCGCAAAATGGCGGCTCCGGGATGCAAATGAGGCTCAGCAATATGCTATGCTTAGCCTCATTTGCATATTTCTGACGCAAGAAGCCATGAGTGTAGACATAGCCAAACAGAGGCACCAGTTTTGTTCTGTTGGCCTTTGCCACTCACCTCAGAAGTCATTTCAGATGTCCCGGTGCTGAGGGGGTGGGTGTTCCATTGCCAGTGATTTCCCTCCCCAGCCTTCGCTCTGAGGTAACAGAACAGCCTATCTGCTTTAGCCCTGCATCCAGTGACCCATGCTAGGAATTGCTGTCTCTCCCCCAGGCCTCATGTCTCCCTGTCTCTCTTGCAGATGCTGGCTCGCCTGTTGAAAAGCTCCCATCCCGAGGATCTTCGGGCTGCCAACAAGCTCATCAAGGAAATGGTTCAGGAGGTGAATTTCCTCATGCAGGCTGTCCCCAGGGAAGGGGCGCTGAGGATTTATACCCCCACCCGCCCGCTGGAGAGGAGGAGCCTGGCCCTAGATGCAGAGAGGTCATGAGACGGGGAGGAGCATATGGCCAATGTGCTCGAATGCCCATACTGACCTGGCAAGCAGCCACTTCTCTGGCATCAGGAAGTAGGGGGGTGAGGAGAGGGATCCCTGGGATTTGTAAGTAAAGTTTGTTCTCCCCAGTCTTGTGACGGGGGCCTGAGACGGGCTGTGGCGCCCCCTGCTGGTGCCATCCCAGCTCCTGTGCCACACAGCAGGGTACTGAATGGTCTCCAGTGTGACTGGACTCTCTCCGCCCAAGCTGAAGCCATTCTGGGAGGATGCCCTGCGCTTGGTGCCCACTATTGTAGCCGCCCCAGGCCTGACTTGTGGGTAGAAGGAAAATAACTCCCCCTCACCCATCCACTCCTCCCACCGCAGGACCAGAAGCGAATGGAGAAGATCTCCAAGCGCACAAACGCCATCGAGGAGGTAAACAACAACGTGAAGCTGCTGACAGAGATGGTGACCAACTACAGCAAGGGGGAGACGACGGAGAGCAGCGAGGATCTCATGAAGGTGAGCGGGGGCTGCCCCAGAGTCCCTTCCCTCTCTCTTGCATTCTGAGGTGAGGTCAAGGAGCCCCAGGGCAAGAGCAGCTTTTACTCTGCAGCTCCCTCCAGCTCCCTTTCCCCAGCCCCTCCCGAGCGCTGTCCCAGCACCCACCTCCGCCCCCTCTCTCCCTCAGGAGCTGTACCAGCGCTGCGAGCGCATGAGGCCCATGCTCTTCCGGCTCGCCAGCGACACAGAGGACAACGACGAGGCGCTAGGTGAGCTGAGCTGCCCCCCTCGCTTATCCCTCCATGGAGCCCCAGTGCACCTCCCCTTCAGCTGAGTCTGACACCGCATTGCTACCCAGCAGCCAGCCTGCACCCCCCTCTCCACCCTGCCTGCTGGGCCATCCCATTGGGGCAGAGGGAGCCGATCAGCAAGTGGCACTGCGGGGGAAGACGAGCTGTGCATGGGGCATTCGGCTGCACTTGGGGAACACGTCATTGAAAGTGTGGGGGTGGAGCGTGTGGCAGATTGGAGGATACCCGGGCATTGAGTGTGCGCTCTGGGCCATGGGGCTGCGCTACCAAAGATGTCTTTGCCACAGCTCACTATTGGTTCCCTGCTCTCCTCTGTCCCAGTCTATAGAGGGACAGGGAATGCTGAGGCCTGCACAGGGCACATGGCCGGGCTGCCCCTGGCACGTCCCTGTCTCTTCTGCCTTCAACTCCCCCACCCCTTCTCTTGCAGCGGAAATCCTGCAGGCCAATGACAACCTGACCCAGGTGATCAACCTGTACAAGCAGCTTGTGAAAGGAGAGGAGATCAATGGAGAGACAGTGGCCGGCCCTCTCCGAGGTGAGGAGCCCTGAAGAGGGAGCTCGTGGGAAATCCAGCGAGGGGAGGGGACAGACAGGCAGCCCCTGGGAAGTGCAGAGGTGCAGTCGGGGGCCTAGAGCAGGGTCACATGGTTATTCGATAGTCCCCGGGGGAGGAGCCAGCAGGCATTGCGCTCCCAGCCCCACTCCCTGGGAGCCCCTTAGCAGGGCAGGGTGGCAGCAGCCTCTGTCCACAGGGGGCCCAAGCAGCATGGCGGGGGAGGTGGCTCCATGAAGCTGGGGCTCAAGGGGAGCCAGATTTTAAGCTGATCCCGCTGGAGCACCGGCTCCTGCCTTCCCCTCCCCCGGTCTCGGTGGGAGGCAGCAAGGGGGAAGGCAGGCAGCTCCGCAGAGCCGGCATGCGCAGAGAGCCGGCTTAAAAGCTGACTCCTCGTGCATATTGGCTCCCTCCTGCCCCATCAGAGGCAGCAGCATTGGGGGGGGACAGGCAGCTCCATGGGATCCGGTGCTCTTAAAAGCCAGCTCCTTATGGACACTGTCTCCCGTCTCCCACCCCCTTGCTGCCTCTGATACAGAAGCAGCAAGGTGGGGGGAATGCAAGTAGTCGTTAGGATTAACCTATCAGACTTATTGGTTAACCATTTACACAACTAAACGCTAACATCCCTAATTGGTGACCGAGCCAGCTCCCCCCAGAGCGAGCAGATTAAGGGAGAGACTTCTCTCTTCACTGCTGCTCAGTGGTCAAAGCTCCGTGTCTTCCCTACAGGCAGCACCTCAGCGCTCCTGGACCTGTCGGGACTGGACATGCCAGCACCAGGCCCCTCCTACCCAGCCTTACCCACCCTGTCGGGTGGCTCCATGCTCCCTGTGCCTGACCCAGCCAGCTCGGTCTCCCTGCTGGATGATGAGCTCATGTCTCTGGGTGAGAAGGGAGAAAACACAGTGTGGTCTGTACGAGAGCAGCACCTCGAGGAGAGAGAACTGCTGGTGGGGAAGGCTGACGGTGAGGCGGAGATGCCTTCCAGCGTGGGCAGTCCCATTTGCACTAGCGAGGCTCTAGCTAATGGGCTGAAAATAGCAGAGGGGATGTGGAGCCTCAGGCTGGCACCCGAGCATAGACCCAGGAGACGTGAGAGCCTGAGCATCAACATCTGCCGCACAGTTAATACTAGAGCTGAGCCCTGCTAGCATGACCCATCTGCCCCGGCTGGGAGGGCTGCTCTCCGCTGCAGTGTGACCATGGCCTGGCAGACCAAGAGGTTCCTGCTCCACACTGCCCTTTGGGAAACCCCCGTTCAATCTGAGTCCTGCCTTGTGAGCACCTGGCAAGCAGCTCTCCTTTCCTAGAGCAAAATCAGCCACAACACACAGGAGCTAAGTGTTACAAACCCAGAGCAGTGGGGATCTCTGCCCTGCCCCTTCCCCCAACTCCTTGTACAGACACATTGCCGAGGGACGTGCCGGGCTGCCGATACGGAGATCCCAAGGAGGTTGTTGTGGCACTTTGAAAATGGGACACAGTCTCCTAAGTCACTTAGGGGCTTTGGAAGATGTTCCCCTCTGTCTGTAGGCCTCTGCAGGCAGGATCATTGTGACACTAGTGCTCTTCTTTGGAGGGGTCATGTTATGCCATTGACTCTTATGGGTCCCTGCCTGCCCTTCTGGATGCTGAAGGGCAGCTGAGTAGCTGGGAACCAAAGAAAGAAGCTAATGGAGAGCAGAGAGCGACCAGACCTAACGGGGCTGGAAAGTAGGGACACTTGGTTGTCTTCCCTGCCCTCTGTCCCTGCGTGTTGTCTCTGTCCCAGCTGCCCACCTCTCAGGCTGTCTTTGGAGCTCCTGCTTCAGTTATTGGCAGGGCTCTTCTCTTGTTGGCTTTTTGTTTCCCCTCCACAGGACTGAATGAGCCGGTTCCCGCCTCCGCCCAGGCCATGGACAGCAGTGGCTGGAACAGTTTCCAGGTACCTGCCTGGGAGCAGAGGGTCAGTACTTTGTGAGAGGGGGAGTTTCCAGCCCTGCTGGAGGCGACAGTGAAGTTGAGGCATCATGGGATACATCTACACTACAGAGAAGATAGAAGTTGCCACTGCGGACCTTCCAGGGTTCGAATGAGCAGGTCTAGTGAAGACAGCTATTTCGAATGGAGAGGGGTTCTCTGGTCAGTGCCGCTTCCACGGGGAGTAAGGGAAGTCGAAGGAAGAGTGTTCTCCCTTTGACTTCCTGCAGCGTGGACAGCGCCAAAAGCCGAGTTAAGCTACATCGACTTCAGCTACACAATTAATGTAGCTGAAGTTGTGTATCTTAATTCGACCTTGTCCTGCGGTGTAGACATACCCATGGTTACAAGAGGCCGTGGTGTTTGAGCACTGGGAATAGTGAGGGAGCGCGTGAGGCAGTTGGGAGTGCGGGGAGTGTATGGTGTTTGAGCATTGGGAATAGTGAGGGAGCTTGTGAGGCAGTTGGGAGTGCGGGGAGTGTGATGGGGATGGCATGTGGGGCACAGTTTGTGGGACAGAGGATCTGGGGAGGGAGCAGAGGCTCACACAGTGCACAGTTCAAACACTAGATACAGACTGGCTGTTGAGCCAGGCCAAGCCTTGCTGTAGTACCCTCTGGCTGTCATTACAGGATAGCAGTGAGCCCAGCCTGCCCTCCATCCCAAATGCTCCAGCACCTGCCCCAGACCCTTCCCCTCTCACCAGTGGCCTGGATGACCTGGATCTGCTGGGGAAGACTCTGTTACAACAGTCCCTGCCTCCGGAGTCTCAGCAAGTCCGATGGTAAGAGCCAGGAGCCTGGGTGAGGCACGGACAGGATCAGCCGGCCTTTCCCTTGCCCTGTCCCAAGAGATATCTCTTCTGCCCCCAGGGAGAAGCAGCCGCCTCCCCGGCTAACGTTACGAGACCTCCAAAACAAGACCAGCTCTGGCACCACGGTGACTGCCCTCAGCAGCACCCCCACGCTACTCCGGGGCGTCTCGCCGAGCCCCACGGCCGCCCTGCCCCTACCCTTGGAGCAGCCTGCCCCTGCCATGCTTCCGAGAACCACTCCCACGCCGGCTGGAGCTATGCCACCCCCGCTGGGGCTCCCCGCTCCCACATCCCCCCAGGAGATCTCGCTGGCAAGCATCACCGTGCCTCTCGAGTCCATCAAACCGAGTGAGTGTGGAGAAGGAACCCTCCCCTGACTGGGAGTAGGAGAGGGCCAAAGGGATTGGTTGTCCCCTCTGTGGGTTTCCATCAGTTTGCAGAACATGATAGGCTGTGCCCAGGGCCCATCTCTCTGCTCCTACTGACACTGCTCCCTGGCCTCTCCTCCCTGCAGGCAGCATCCTCCCGGTGACCGTCTACGACCAGCATGGCTTCCGGGTCCTTTTCCACTTCGCCCGAGACTCTCTGCCCGAGCGGCCTGATGTGCTGGTGGTGGTGATCTCCATGCTTAGCACGGCTCCACTGCCCATCCGCAACATTGTCTTTCAGTCTGCTGTTCCCAAGGTAACGGTCCAACAGGAGGCCGGACCCTCTGGGAGGGGGGGTGTCTGACCGCTCCTGAATCGATCTTGGGAGCTCGCAAAGGCTGTGTTCCTGCTTCACCTCACCCTCCCACAGCAATGAGAACGGTCCAGAAGCTGCTCGGGTCTGGTGGGCCAACCCATCTCTCTCTGAAAGGGGCCAGACAGGTCACCAAACAAGTGATCTCATTGGTGGTGGGCCAGGGCCCAGTCCTTCAGTCTGTATCTCCACAGTGCAGTGAAGGCAGCTTTGGGGTGAGGAGGGCTCCAAGTTTGGGGCAGGATGAAAAACTGTGGTTTCCCTCCTACCCAGCCTTACTCTGGGCCTGAGAGTCAGGAGGTTGGGCTCTAGTCCCAGCTCTGCCACTGGCCTGCTGGGTGACCTTGGCAAATTCCTTCCTCATAGCATTTCTCTCTGAAAAGCTGGGCAATAATGTGTCACCGTGGGAAGCACTTTGAGATCCATGGGCAACAAGGGCTGTGCGAGAGCTAGGAGGTTACCAGCAAGGGCTGGGAGTGACTGAGCACCCTCTGGGGAATTTGACTTGGGCACCTGGGATGGGGGGGGGGGTCTGTCAAAACAGAGCTTGCGCTCAGGTTTTGACAGCTGGGCCCTATCGCTCTCCCCTGCGTGACACTCCTGGTCTCTCACTCCTGCAGGTGATGAAGGTCAAGTTACAGCCACCCTCAGGGACAGAGCTCCCGGCATTCAACCCCATCGTCCACCCAACGGCCATCACCCAAGTCCTGCTGCTCGCCAACCCGCAGAAAGTAAGAGCACCTTGCCTGTTGCACACAACCCCCTAGACCAGGTGGTGCTGCTGCTCCAGGGCTGGTGCCTCTCCCTGACTTGCAGCTCCCTCCCTCTCGCCCATGCTCACGCCTGCTCTCCTCAGCCCCTCCCACCGCCCTGCGTGTGAGTCCCTAAACCCACATCCCTTACCTCCTGACGGCATTTCCCTTCTCTTCCCTTCCCAGGAGAAAGTGAGGCTACGCTACAAGCTGACCTTTACCATGGGGGAGCAAACCTACAATGAAATGGGGGACGTGGATCAATTCCCCCCTCCAGAGTCCTGGGGCAACCTCTAGGGTCATGGCTACTTTGCTTTTCCTGAATCCCAAGGAGTCCGTGTGCCTGCTGTCTGGAGTGCCCTGGGGCTGGCTCGTGGACTCTGGAACTAGCCACGGAAGGCCCGGGGCCAGAGGCAGCATGTGTGAGGGTTGGTGGATGAGAGCGCAGCCAAGGAAAGGAGGGTGTCGGCTCAGTGTGGGACGGGGCGCCGGGACAGAGTGAGGAGCTCTGACCACCTTCCGTGCTCTTCTAATCCAGCCTCCCCTCCTGCTCCTCCTCTAACCCCACTTTCCCTTCAGCAGCCGGCATAGTGATCAGCTGAAGGCAACACTAACCAGCCCTGGCGGGGGCAGGACTCTTAAGATCCTTCCTCTCCTGATGTGGGGACTTTGCTGCTCCCTACCCCCGCCCGCTTCAGGCTCCCCATTCAGTACTCCTAGCAAACTCCGCTCTGCGGGCTTGGGGGCTAAATCTTTGGGGCTCTCCATTTGCAGCCATGCCCCCAAGTCATCTCTCTCCACCCCACCATGATTTCCTGGTACCCATGTTGGCATCACCCCAAGAAACCGTGTGGAGCAAGGCGCCCTAACCTTCCTTCACTGGAGAGCAGCATCCGTCCCTGTTGGGGGCAGGCTTCCCAGGGTCCGTGCGTGGCTTCTGCCTGAGGCCACAGCTGTGCTGAGGAAGTTGGCTGCTCTGTGGAAAGGGGGCACGGTAACGCCAGCAGGGAGTTGTTAGGTTCCTGGCTCCCAGCCACTGACTCAAGCAGTCATGGAAGTGGCTGTGCACCCTCAGACCCTGTCCCACTGCAGGTCGAGGGGGGGGGGCATGCCATATGCAAGAAGGAATAGCAGGAAAGCAGCATGGCCTTGGGCAGCGGTGGGGAAGAGGAGCAAGTATTGAACATATCCACACCCCTGGGCTTGGCTGAGGCTGTTCCGACACATAGGCTCCCCTCCCCACCTGCTGCAGGAGCCTGGGGCGGGAAGCAGCTAACGCCTTTCTCCCATCTTGCTGTTTGAACTCGCCTTGGTTTGTGGGCTTTGCTTCCTTCCTCGTGTGACGATGGGCACCAAGGGAGCCTGCGCCAGTTGCCACAAGGGACGCAGCGCCTGCAGCTGCCTGAGGATTGCAAAGGGGGTCCTGCTGAGGGAACTCTGCTTGTTTGTATGGGGGAAAGGGAAGGGGCATTTCTCAGCACTGTTCCTGAAGGAGCTGACGCTGCGGGCTAGTGATGAGGGAGCCTGGATTCCAGAGGGCTCTTTGAAGGGAGCTGGGGTGCTCCATCCCACTGAATCCCCATGCATCGGGGATCCCAGCAAGTCAATCACTGTGATGCAAAACTGGATTTGCTGGACCATGATGCAGGTATGGAGATGAGCGGATGGATTAACAGGGGAGCTCTAAGCGACATCCTACCCCACCACACCCTCACCTTGCTGATCTGCTTGCAGGCTGCACTAACCTCTCTTTCGCTTTCCAGGCTCTGTGCCGAGAGGGCTCCCTCGAGTTGCAACTGACCTTTGCATCATGAGCAAAACCCCTCCTTCGAGAGGGAGCCGGCATAGGAGCCTTGACCAGGAGTGAGGGCTGCATGCAGATATCAGAGGCCAGCCAGCGGGGCTGTGCTTCCATCCTAGGGAATCAGAATTGCTCTGGGGCGGCTCAGAGCCTGGTGGAACATGGGAGTGAGAAGACAGGCTGGAGGGAAGGTCTCTGAGCTGAGGCTCTGCTGTGTCTTATTTTCTTTTCTGGTCTCTTTCAGGGGTTTTGTATGGATTTTCTTTGCAGATCTTGTTGGTTCTCGAACAGACTTGTATATATTTTCGGTGCAAATTCTGTACATGGAAAAGGATTTCAAAAGCCGCCCGGTGCGCGAAATCTGCTGTATTTATGGGAAATAAAGAGTGTTCTTTCCTGATGTCTGTCAGGGTTTTCCTGAGCTACACTTGGGCTGAGGGCCCCTTTTGTCACCAGCAAGCCCAGCATCTGTCATCCATAGAATCTCTGCCCCCTGCACGCAGTGTCCCTTCTCCCTCTCAGCTGAGGCGAGTGCCCCCTACTGGGGCACTTTTCCATCCCCAATGTGAGGATGCATCTCCGTGCAGCCAAGCCTGGGGAGAACACTGCTAGTGTGCTGGAAGCGTCCCTGTTCCCTCTCCCCATTTCAGAACATTGCAGCATGGATCCCAGTAACGAGAGGCAGGGCTTGCTCTGCGACGCCAAATGTGTGTTCAGACCCAAACCTGCCCTTGACACTCACCCTAGCTCAGTGGTAGCCTAGCCATGGAACTCGAGAGCCTCCCTGGACCTCACTCTCTGAATTGCCCAGTGGGAGCCAAGTACCAGGGCAAAGGAGAGCAGTGAATCTTCTGGTCGGCTAGCTGGGCTGCCCTGGATTTCGTGGTCCTGGCTCGTGGGACAGAGAGCAGTTGCTGCCTTTTGGGGCTGGAACGTGCCTTCCTGTTTTCTGTGCAGAGTTGAGCACAGGAAGAGCTGGCTGCCAGCCCCTGCTGCTCCCTATGTTGGAGGATGAGGGGGCTAAACATTGGCCCTGTGGAAGGGATTGCTAGGAACTCCTGTGCCAGGGTTAACCTGACCCTCAAGCCCCCTCACTGAACCATTTTGGGCCTGGCTCAAGTGCTGTTTGCAGCGAGGTTGCTCAGCTGATTGCTAGTAGCTGCCCCCACTTCCTCTTCCCCTAGGTTTTTCTGTGGGAGCCTCTGTAGCGGCTGCCACAGTGGGTCTCGTAACTGCTGTTAAGCGCCGGTGGCCTCCTGGTAGGCTGGGGAAGATGGTTGGTTTTGGAAAGTAGCAGTAACGGCTGTAACTTGGGAGTGGGCTTTTTGCACCCCTGTTGCCTTGTGTCTCAGACAGTGGGGCTAGCCCAAGGGCTGTGTGTCTACTGCCAGTACCCCCATTAAATGTCAGCTTGGGCAGCTACTGCAGTGCATGACGCACAGATTGTTTGGAGCCTCATTCCCAGCCAAGGGGAGGCCTTGCTCAGTGGATCCCATAGCAGACGGGTGTGACTGCTACTGGGGAGTTTCCTGACTCTACACAACCACTTCCCCTACACCTAGGATGCCTGGGAGGCCTCTGAAAGTAGCAGCTCAGCAAGCAGCTTCTTGGCCTTTGATCCCTGTGGAGTCTGGATAAAAAGTCAAAGGAGCAGGGCCATCATGATGTACCGCACAGAGACTCTCTCTGGGGTGGTCTCCGTGTCTTTGGCCACTGTTGCCTGTAAGCCTCTCTCTGCTTTGCCTATGTTCTAATCCCCCTGGGTCAAATATGGCCCAGGATCTAGGGCACTGGCTTGCAAAGGCTGAGCCCTGGGTTGTGCTCCTAGCTCTGCCCTGAGCTACAGAGTGACCACCCCTCGGTTTTCCCAGCTGACAAATGGGCATGATGCCGGGAGGAGATCTCTGGGTGCAGAGCAGTGTTCCCTGTAAGCTGCGCATGTGTGCGGCTGCTCAGGAGAGATTCCAATGAAGAATGTTAAAATGCATCATTTTTTGGTAAATGTGTAACTGAAATTTTGAGCGGTTATATGTTTTCATGGCGGGGGAGGTGGCTCAAACAGATCTCTGCGCTCTCCTTCCCCCGCTTCCTCTGATACAGAGGTAACAGCGTAGGGTGGGGGGCATTGCAGCTCCACGGGAGCTGGTACATGTATGGAGCTGGCTCCCCACATGTACAGCTCCTGCCTGCCCCCGTGCGTTGCTGCCTCTCATACAAAGGCCGCAGCATGGAGGGGGGCCTTTGTGTAGAACTGTGAAGGTTAATTGATCAGCCCAAGTTCATCAGTTAAATGTGTACATGATCATATCCCTAATTCAATCCTGCCCCATTGCTTAACAGAGCACCCACAGCTAGGTTTTTTGTTTCTACGGGAGAGGCACATTCACACACGCCTTGGTGCACACACACATTTATTTTGCACGTGGGTGGAGAAGTTTGGTGGGAACGCTGGTGCGGAGTACCATATAAGGCCTCAGGAGCACTACTTATTTTAGTCCTAGCCCATGCATGGGGATGGTCAGCTGGGTCACTTTTTCCTGCCTCTCTCCCTCCTTGACAATTCTGCAGTGTGTTTCTTTATACGTGCACATGCACTCTGACCACTTCCTGTCCCAGCTTCTGAGCTCTCGCACTGGCTGTGCAGGCTCCCTGCAGCACTCCCTGGCCCTCCACCACTCTCTGGACAGGCTGCTGCTGGCTGTGGGGGGTTGGGGATCATCTCACAAAAGGGAAAGAAAATCCTGGTCTAACAGATTATCTCCTTCGAGCATGCCAGTAAAATCAACAGGAGGGTAAGACCTGGGCCCTGTTGCCACATGTCCCAGAGCTCTGCTGCTACTGCTGCTGCAGGCTGCGGCTTGGCTCTGCAGAGGAAGGCACCAAGGGGGTTGCAAATCTCACAGCTAAGCTCTGAGCTGCCCTCTGTTCTTGGAGCAGCGCATTTGTGACACTATGTTCCCATGCCATTGGTTTGCAGCAGACGTGTGAGTGGGAGGTGCTGCAGTGCACCTTACAGCGACAAGGGTGGTGAACCCACTGCCACAGCCTCTCTCCAGGGTGCACATGCAACACCTAGGGACCCAGCATAAGCCCGCAGCACTGCGGGGGAGGAGGGAGTCCCCTTGCTGCAATGGCTGGGGTGCAGCACTGGGGTGGGGGGTCGCAGGACCGGAATAGCGGCAGGAGCTGCAGATGAGATACACTGACAGCTATTGGGGGAGATCATCCGAGACTGCCATTTATTATTGTAAGAGCCCCTAGAGGCCAGCATGTCTGGTGCCCTGTTGTGCAAGGCGCTGTACAAACAGAAAGTGACCGTCCTGCCTTATGAGTGAGGTAGATGGGCAGCACTGGGGAGCAGTTGTGGCGGCAATAGAAGGGACTGTTGCTGGCCAAGACTGGGGTGTGTTGGCAGTGCTGCAAGGGCTGCACAGAAATAGCAGCAAGTTCAGGGTAGGAGGGTGATGCACAAAGGCCTGTGGGCGCAGTGTGGGGCTGGACTGGACTAGCAGGAAGCGCAGCAATCGGGAGCAGAGCCGGGTGCAGAAGTGGTGTGCTGGTTTACTGGTAGTTTCAGGGGAACCGATGGTTTGGTTTGAACCAAATTTGAAAATTGCAATAACAGAAAAAAAATCAGCAAATGGAAGTAAATCCAGTCAGGCCGAAGGGAGCACGCTGCTGGACCCAAACCGTTTTGGTGCAGGCTGTTAGCCAGCTTCACAGAACAGGAGAAGAAAGTGCCCTCCCTATAAAAAAAAAGGCTGAAACTTGTAACTGTTAGCAGTAAGGGCATTTATCTGGCTCCCTCGCTTCCCAGGTTTATCTCCCCACTCCCCTTCCTGATGTGGAGAAGAGATTTGAATGTGGGTCTCTCATTAGCTTGGGAGAAGATCCTACCCACCAGATTAGAGAGTCATCCTCCCTTGGTTTTGCTGAGGGGTAGTCATTGTCCTTATGGATTGCCATGAATTGCCTCAATTAATAACAAGGGCTAGTCATTGAGTGGCGGTGGAGGGAACCATGTGACTGACTCCAGTGCGGAGGTTAGGGCACATGCCTAGGCAATAGGAGAAGCCAAGTCCCTGCTCCATTGGCTAATTATTTACACAACGTGGAACAGCTTCAGTAGGAGCTGAGACTACCCCGTATTGCCTCTTGCTCTGGAGCTGGGCTGTTCCTTGTAGGGTGAGAACACTAAGTTTGAATCTTTTCTTCACACCAGGCCGAGGGGGGTCTGAACCTCCCACAAGGGAGCACCTTGGCGACAGGGGGGCTAACAGAGGCCGGGGTTCCCCATTTTACGATGAGCACTTCAGTGTCAAAAAAACAAGGGCAGACCCTGGTTAGTGCATCTGTGTCAAATTCACCAGTGGGTTTGAGTGGACTGGAGCTGCACTTTGTGGTGATGTGAATCAGCTCATCTGCCCCAAAGCCAGGCAGGAAAGGCACGGGCAGAGTGGGCCGGGTATTCCAGGTCAGGTACAGCAGGGGGGCTGAGGCTCATGACTGAGGTGCATTGGCAGAGCTGTGAGAAGCCAGCATGGCACCTGCCTTCTCCATCTCTGCCTCTCGCTAGTGGAATGGATTTGCAGGGTCCCCGCGTGAGTCTGCCAAGGCGTATGGAAGGCAGAGTAGGCACCGGTGGAAACAGCGGGTGGGAAACGAGAGGGAGAGTGTGTGGGCCCCATGCTCTGGTTAGGCTGTGGCGGGTGCTTGTTCTGCCTTGTTACATGTTTGCTGTAATAATATTTCCCCTTTAAGGCTTGGCTGAAGTTATTTATACTTGCGGGGTGGTGACAGGAACAGAGAGCAGCACCAGGAGCCCTGACTGCTCTTACCTGCTTGGCGATGACGGGGTGGGGGTGAGGGTGGGACTCAGACCAAAGAGGAAACAGAGGAGAGAAGGAGAAGGAAAGAGAAGTGAGAGAAGGAGAAAAGGGAGGCAGGAAACCCAAGAGTGAGGGAAGCGGGGCAGGGAGGAGAGAAAAGGGCGGGAGTCCGAAGCCAAGTCAGAGTGAAGAGAAAGAGGGGGAGAGGAGAGAGGGAAGTAGAGAGAAGCGGGCTGTCTCCTCCCATGACAAGTGCAGCTGGCTGGCGCTGAGTGGGGGGGGGTGGCCGGTGCTGTGCTCTCCTCTCCGCTCCCAAGATGATGAAGAGGCAGTTTAATCGGATGCGGCAGCAGCTCTCCTATCCCAGCAACACAGGACGGTAAGGACCCAGCCTTAAGCCTTTCATCCTCCAGCTGGTGGGGCTGACGGGAGGGCAGGAAGCTGCACTGGAGAGCATTTCACAACCCCTCCCCTCCAGCCTTTCAGCGGCACATGGGCCAGAGACCCAGCGCTGCCAGGAGCCAGGGCAGGAGCTGTGAGGACCACCCAGGCCCTGGGTGGAGTGATCATGGGAGGGGCTGGGGGAGCTGAGAGCAGCCTGTTTGGGGAAGCTTTAGCTAAACCCTAGGAGGACTTGGTTAACTCAGACTTCCCCTAGCCCTCTTGGCTGGGGGAGTTGGTGGGACACAGCAATGCTGCTCCGTAGTGACTCCCGCTGGTCCTTTAAAAAGCCAGGTTAACAAGCAGGGGCTGGCTCCACTTGTCCTGCTGGACTGAGCAGTGGGGCCCCTCTGTCCTGACTGGCCCTGGACGCTCAGCTGCGACGGTGTGACTCAGACCCATGTCAATTAGGACAGGTGTTGACCCTAATCCGGACAGGTGAGGCAGGGAGGGCCTGTCGCATTGTGCCCCTCTGTGGGGAAGCAGGGCAGTCACAATCTGGGGCCAGGGAAGTGGGGACGTCAGCAGCAGAGGGAATCCTCCGGCCCCATTGGGGGAAGAGAGGAAGATCAATGCAGGAGGAGAAACAAGACTAAAGGCACATTCCCTGCCAGGGTTTCCCTCCCTCCTGGGCCCATCTGGAGCTGAATCCTACACACGGTGGCAGGGGAGCTTCCTCTTGTGTCCGTCAGGGTCTCAGAAAAGCCTGCCTGAGGAGGTGAGGGGTGGCGGTAGGCTAGTGAGAGAGGAGGGGGCTCTGGGCCTATGCGCTGCTCTCCTTTCCTCTCTGGCTCTCTAACTACATTTCCATTCCGGCCGCTCCCCAGCTCAGGGCCACCTCTGCTTTATTGTTTTTCTCTCGTCTAATTGTTCCCCTTGCAAAACCTTGGGAGCCCTGGCAGGGCTGGGCTCGCCGGTCTCTGCTCCAACCCACACACATATTTTGTTGTTTTAATGTCAGGCAGTTGAGAATGGCTTCAACCCACCTCACTGTTTGCCTGAGGCCAGGGAAGTGGGTCTTTCACTGGGAGTGGTAGGTATTTCTGCAGCTGGCTCTTTCCTCCTTCCTCTTGCCTTGCCCCAAAGCAGACCCCTCCCTCAATTCCCCCTCACCTCCGTAAGAACTAGGGCAGTGGCAGGGCCTCTCTACTCCCTACCTCCTTTGCACTGATCAGGAGATTTTAGGGTCCAAGATCTGCCCAAGTGCCTAGTGATTTTCAGTGCACAACCCCAAGGTGTCTTGAAGGGCCCTGGTTATTAGAGGGCAGGAACTCACCATTCCCTGTCAATCAAGTGTCTTTTGTGAGGTGCCCCAAATCACTAGGTGCTTCTGAAAATTTTGGCCTAGATCCCTTATTTAGCAGAGAAGGAACCTGCATGAAGTCTCCCAGTGCTGTTACTGCCCCACGCTCCCTTGGCTCGCAGGCTGGGAGCCATTTTCATGCTTCACATCCTCTGTCCATGGGCTCACCTGCAAGCTCCTCTTAACCCGAGACATGATGACCCGGAACCAGAGCAATGGGGTTTGGTGCCCTCCCTCCCGAAGAGCCTGGTTGGAGGCCACCAAATGTAATGAGTCTCTCGCTCTCCCTCCCACTCTTTTCCCCAGAGCCCAAGAAACAGCTGAGCTCCTGACTGAAGACTTGCTGCAGGTGAGGCCTGGGTTCAGTCCACAGGCATGTGTGGGCCTGTGCCTGCATGTGGGGCAAACATCTGGTGTGCCTGCATGTGAAATACTCTCTCTCTCTCTCTCTGTGTTTACCTAAGTCACAGGGCAGCCTCAGCCTGGATTGTTCTGTATCCTGGAACGATGCCTACGTGCAACAGTGGGGGCCAGACCTCTGACAAGCCTCCCTGATTGCATCAGGGGGAGACAGAGTAAGCCTCAAGCCTGAGCAAGGCAGCCCAATGCTTGGTGGGCCTTGTCTCCCATGCCAGCTCTGCCACTGAGGCTTTCTCTGTACTATGTCCTGAGCCATGTTAGGGAACCCTAGTATCACTCAGCCTTGGCCACACTGGAATGTGGGTTGGTTTTGCCTGTGGAGACCAGACAAAACTGTTATAACCTCATAAGGAAACTGACGTAGGTCTGTCTGGTCTCCACAGGCAAATCAAGCAGTGGTAGAACAGGGGCACTATGCAAACGGGCTGTGCTTGTAATGTAGGTGTACAGCTGATGGACAGGTGGGCTTGAACCTTGGTCCTTAGGGGAAAAAGCCATGAGCCTCTACTACTTGAGCTAAAAGCCATCTAGCACTTAGCTAAGGCTTTAAAGCAGATGTCTCTCTCCCATACATAGGCAAGGCCTGACAGTCCATCTTCTCTGGCAGTGGGGTGGGACAGAGAGACAATGCCTCATCAGGCCCCCACAAGACACTAGAAGAACGTGGGTGGGTGTCAATAGGCAGAGAGGGTCCCACTGTGCCCTCCACATTGGAGGAAAGGAAGCTGTCTTTCCTCAACGGGCAGCTGTCTCCACAGCTAGGAAACCCCAGCAGAGAGACCCCACGGCAGCCCTAGAACCTGGTACACTGAGGAGTGGCTGAGGATGGAAAGCTTTCCCCCAACCCCTCCCCCCATTTCCCAGTCTCTCTCCCTCTCTCTAGATTGAGCAGCGAATCGAGCCAGCCAAGCGGGCCGCGCACAATGTGTCCAAGAGGCTCCAGGCATGCCTGCAGGGGCAGTGCGGTTCAGAGATGGACAAACGTGTGGTAAGCGCCTCTGCCCGCTGCTCCCCGCTAGCTGTGCTGCCTCGGCAGCCTGTACAGGAAGTGGCTGTCAGCTCCTCCCACAGCAGTCTGCCCCAGCCGCTCTAGGAGCAACTCTGTTGGATGCAAGATGCTTCTACGGTGCAAAGCGCCACCCGAGACTTCCTGCGTGTTGCAGCTTCACATCTATTCCCCTGCACCTTGGAGGGTCTGGTCTGTGCTTTGGAGAGATTGGGGGGGGGGGTGCGATGGGGCAGTGGAGTGCTGAGCTTTCCCAGCTAGCTCTCTGCTTCTGCTAGAGCCTGGGGGTGTGCCTGGCTCTTACCGGGGGCCAGGAGTGGAATAGAGAACGTTTCTCCCCAAAGTCACTGTTCTGATCTGCTCCCCCATTGGGACACAGCACTTAGGGGGCCTGAGTTTGGGAAGCTGCGTGTGCAGAGCACTATATTGCACAACCTTTCACCTCAGGGTCACCTATTCCTGTCTGAGATTAACACACACAATAGTAAAAACTTAAACAACAACAAATAGTCTGGTAGCACTTTATAGACTAACAAAACATGTAGCTGGTCATCTGAAGAAGTGGGCTGTGCCCACAAAAGCTCATGATACCACCTTCATGTTTTGTTAGTCTGTAAAGTGCTACCAGACTATTTGTAGTTTTTTAAGTTTATCCTGGTACAGAATAACTCGGCTACCCCCTAAAGCTTTTGAACACACAATAGTGATCATAGTCTTCTTGTGCACTTGGCACTACAGCCAAGCTGGCCATTGCATTCCAGGAGTAACTTGGCTACCCTCATCTATGGAAACTGCATTGGGGCTCAGCGTGTCTTCTCGGTGACTGCGCTTTGACCGCCCATGTAGTGTGCCTGTCCTAGCGTGAAGATGAGAGACTGTGCTTTGACTGCCCATGTAGTGTGCCTGTCCTAGCGTGAAGATGTCCTGATCAATGTTCCCTCTAATCTTTTCCATCCATTTGTGGATTTTTTCCACCCGCGTGCAGAATAAATGTTGTTATGTGCACGGAGGCATGCGTGGCCATGCACCACCAGGAGAAACAAAGAATCTAGCTGTGGGGCGTGGCCGTGCACCACCAGGAGAAACAAAGAATCTAGCTGTGGGCGCTCTGCTAATCAGCTGAGTGGTGTTGGAATCTCTCCCGAGTGGCCACACAGGTGCTCAGCTTACAGGGAACTCTGGTCTAATCACACTCCAGTAAAGGGAATTTCTTCCTCCATGACCCAGCCCCCTCCACTCTAGCATTCTAGGATGGGGCTCACAGCTCCAGACTGGATGCTGAAGGAGGACTTTGCACTCCAGGGCCCTTCATTGGGGAGATGGGTTGGTGAGAAAGAGGCAGGATGGATCATACCCCTCGTGTCTCTCCCCTTGGCTTCAGCTTGGCTGGCCCTGCCCTCAGCAGGGTGTGGTGCTGAAGGTGTCAGTCACACGTTGGTGGGGAAGGGCTCTGCTTATGGTTTCCTTCCCCCCTTTCTCTCTCCTCGGCTCTGTGCAGAAGAAGCTGCCCTTGATGGCTCTGTCCATCACTATGGCTGAGAGCTTCAAAGAACTAGACACCGATTCCAGCCTCGGGTAAGTGCCCCCAGGGAAGAGACAAAGGAGCCCTGAAAAGTATCAGTCCATACTGTACACCAGGGCACCAGTCCCAGGGTTCATGCTCCCAGGCTGAGCCTCTGAGCTCTCGCATCGAGGTTCATGCTGCCCAGCCGCACGGCAGCCTCCTGGTGACAGGATTCCCACTCTGCCTCTGAGCGCACACACTGGGGGATTTGTGCTCTCGACCTGTGGGTGCAGCAGGATCTGGGAACTGGTTCCTGGGATTAGCAGGGCCTACCTCCCTGGTGCAGAACGCTGGGGCGGGGGTGGGGGGCACAGTATTTTTGAGCCTGCTGTGATTCTCCCCTTCTATGCCTGCAGAAGAGCTCTAGAGATGAGCTGCTTCATACAAAGCATGCTGGCCAAGGTCCTGGCTGAGTTTGAAATCACCTTGGAGAGGGACGTTCTACAACCTCTGAATAAACTGAGTGAGGTAGCCCTGAGCACACTCCTCCTTTCCTTTGCTTTCCCCCTTCCCTTCTTTGCTCACTCTCCCTCCCTGCTTGTGCTCTCTCCACTCCCTTCTCCCCACTCTCCCATTGTGATTGCACAAAATGCAGCCTTCACGCAGCCAGGCCTGGCGCATGGGTGGGGTGTGTAACAATCTCCCAATCTCCACTAGGAGGAGCTGCCTGTCATCCTGAAGCACAAGAAGAATCTTCAGAAGCTGATCTTGGACTGGAACTCCATGAAGAGCAGGTACTGAGCCGGGAGGAGGGAGGGTGGTGAGTGGCAGCAGAGACCCAGATGATTGCCCCCTTGAGAGTGGGGATGGGGGAGGATGCTGACAGCTGCACTCTCAGAGCAGGGAAGGTCTATATCCCGGACATGCAAGGATGACTCCAGATGCCATGTGCACTCATAGAATCATAGAACACTAGAACTGGAAAGGACCTCAAGACATCATCAAGTCCAGTCCCCTGCTCTCACAGCAGGACCAAGCACCATCTAGACCATCCCTGATAGATGTCTGTCCAACATGCTCTTAGCTAAGAATTCCTCCTTCCCCTTCCCCCCCCCAAGGCCCCAAAAGGGATGAATGTGAAGCACCTTTGAATTCTTTGTTCCCTTCCTTCCCCTTCACACCATGATTCCCCTGGGCAATTTTTAGGGAGTGAACTTGACACTCTGAAAGCCTTGTTTCGAGTGTTAAAACTGAGTAAAAAGGGCTTCCAATGACCCTTTTCCTAAGCACTGATCCGCAGGGAAAACACAGAGCTTTCTTGGATTAAGGCCCTTCCTGTTAAAGGCAGACCAGGCAGTTGCCTATGGCAGCAAAATCCTCAATGCCTACTCGTGTGGGTGGTGTAGGGATTATTTGCCTGCATGCCCACGGCCCCTAGGACAGGTCCTAGTTCCAGGAGTAGTGTGGGGGAGGGAGGGAGTTTCTCTATGTTCATGTGCTTTGTAACTCTGAATGAGCAAATCCTCTGCCTGGGGCAGGAATGGTGCCATGGAGGGTATAACCCACAAGCCAACGCTCTGTCAAGGCGGGAGAGAAGGACAGCCCTTCTGCTTCTAGGCTCATCTACCTATCCGCCAGAGTTTTGATGTGGATGGAGGGTCTGTGCCTATCTGTGTACAGTGTCAGCGCCCCTAGTGTTGAATGCTGTCAGGTTACAAGTGTGTCAGCCCAATTCTTCTTTTATAACCCAAAGGCTGAACCAAGCTGTCAAGAGCTCCAGTAACAGCGCTGGCCCTGGCCCTGGCCCTGGGGGGTCCTCTGCTGCCATTAAACTGGAGAACCTGAAGGATGAGGAAGAGGAGGTGAAGCGAAGGGTGGAGCAGTGTAAGGCGAGTGGAAAGCGAATCTGCACTCTTTGGGGAGGGGAAGAGATGACGCAAAGAAGGGGAAAGGAGGCCAGGTCTGGGATCATTCTGCCAGCTGCGTACCAATCCACTTGACTCCAATGGAGATGTCCTGGAAGGCCCCGGTAGCCAATCACTAGTTACAGTCTACAGCTCTGTCTAGAGTGAGAAGGTTGGTCCAAATGCAGCCCATCCCAGTAGCTTGTTGGCCTCAGTAAGATGGCTGTGTCCCAGATTCCTGAGGGGATAGACAGCCGGCAGACTCCAGTACCAGCCCCAGGCTCTGGTGTAACAGGTTTAAAGCAGCAGTGTGGTAGTCAGAGTGTAAAGCCACTGTGGGAGAGCTTGATAGGGTGCTTACAGACACAGGCCTGGCTCTCAGCAGATCTGAATTCAGCTCCCAGCTCTGCCACAGACTCCTTGCGGGACCTTGGGTAAGTCATGTCAGCTCTTTGGGCCTCTGTTCCCTGGAGATGACAGCCCTGCCGTCCTCCCTGCGTGTGTCTGTGCTGTGTACCCCGATGTCTTGTGCAGCACCCAGCGTAACAGCACCCACCCCAACCCTAATACCAAATCAGGAACGTAGGGACTCATTTCCTGGGGGGGGCTGAAGGGAGAATGCAAATGCTGGCTCAAGTAACCCCAAATCTAATGAGCCGGACTCTGCTCCTCTGGGCTGCTGTCTTTGCCTCCCCTCCAATCGCCATTAAGATTCCAGGCTGCCACTTGTGATTCCCCCTCCCCTACCCCACACCTCTTGGTGTAGCCTGACAGGTGATCTGGCTATGGGAGCGCTGTCTGTGTGGGAGGAGTGTGTGTGTGTGTGGTGGGGGGGTGGTTAAAGAGGAGGTCTGCGGGGGAGAGTCCCTTCCTTGTGGTGGTGCTGAAGAGAAGGTTATTGTGTGCTGTATTTCCTCTCCAGGACGAGTACATGGCTGACCTCTATCACTTCTCCACCAAGGAGGACACCTATGCTAACTACTTCATCAAAGTAAGTCCCTTCCCTGCATGCTGTTCCCTCTGCCCACCTCCTTCCCGTTGCGTGCCGAGTCCACTACATCTCCATCTTGCGCTGGCATCCTCCCAGTCCCATGATCCCACCAACCCACCACTGCTGGTGAAAGAGGCGTCTCCCTACAGCTCTCACTCCGTCCTCACCACTCTCCTTTGCACTGCACGTCCTGCCCGAAAGCATCGGGCGGTGTCTCTGAGGTGCCGAGTAAAGCTGGGTTTCTCTGTGGTCTGTCTGGCAGCTGCTGGAAATCCAAGCTCAGTACCATCGGAAGTCTCTGGAATCCCTGGACACCGTCTTGGCAGAGCTAAAGGAGACCCATGGCCAGGCAGGTGAGTAGGAGGAGCCGGGCTGGGGGACGCAGGAGATTTTGTGGGTGGCAGAGCAAGTAGCTACACACACGGTAGATTCACTCCACTCCTTCCTCAGGATCGCTCTAAGCTCCCACTGAGCCTGCTTGCTGGGGAGTTCTCCTCCTCTTCTCCTTACCCTGGGTTTATTCACACACAGCAGGGGCAGCGGGGCCGGTGTTGTGCTCCACACTGACCCCTGCTGACGTATCCCAACCCTTGCTGGAGAGACCAAAGCTAAGAATGTGAGATTCCCTCCACTCACTGTCTGCCACCTCCCAGCTGGGACTGTGGATCAGAGGGCAATTTACAGCCAGTTGCGGTGAAGGCGGTTTTGTGATATGGATCCCCGTTCCCGCTAGGAGATGACCTCATATCCCTCCACTCATTTCACATGGGGCTGGCTGGAGGAGCACTGATCCCTCCTCAGCCTGACTAGGCGAGAGACTCCAGTGGGGGGGTGTCCTCCAACCCTCCATTTCTCTGCTCCATTCCAGAGTCCCCTTTCCCCCTGGATACACCGGTGTTGGGATATTATGGGGTGTCGTTGGAGACGCACCTGAGGACTTTGGATCGGGAGATTGCCCTCCCCATAGAAGCCTGTGTCATGATGTTGCTGGCGTCAGGCATGAGGGAAGAGGTAGGTGCCGCTTGCTGTCCAACTCCTCCCCCCCACCCCCCGGCCAGTCTGTCCAGCCCTCACACTCTCTCTCGCTTGTCTCCTCTAGGGACTTTTCAGGCTGGCAGCAGGGGCCTCGGTGCTTAGGAAGCTGAAGTGCAGCTTGGCCAGTGGCTCCAACGCACTGGAGGAATTCTATTCTGACCCACACGCTGTTGCAGGTAGGTGCTGGAGGCCCAGGGTAGGGGCACTGGAGACATTGTCTGGACAAGCGACAGCCCCAGAAGTGTGGCTTTGTCTCTAAAACAGTGGTTCTCAAACTGTGGGTGGGCTCGTGAGATGATTATGGGGAGGGTGCAAGCAGTCAGCCCCTGCACACGAGGGGCCTCTGACCCTCTGCTCCTGCCCACAAGGGGGCTCTGGCACAGCCATGTGTAGGGCTGACGGCCGGAATTCTTCAGAGAGGGCAGCTAGAGGACAGCAGCTGCTGGCTGAGAGCCCAGCTCTGAAGGCGGCACTGCCCCCAGCAGCTGTGAAGAAATTAAGGTGGCATGGCATGAAGGGCTCATCGCTGCCAGAAATAATTTCAAAACAGGTCCCAGCAATAAAAAAAAAACATAGTTTGAAAACCCTGCTCTAAATCATGACCCTTTGCCTCTATCTCAGGTGCACTGAAATCCTACTTGCGAGAGCTGCCCCAGCCCTTGATGACCTTTGAACTCTATGAGGACTGGTTTAAAGTAGCCTGGTAAGAGAGAACCAGAGAGAGGGGCATTCTTAGGAAGGCTAAAATCATCAAAAAGGACCCTTCTGATTATGGATTCTTCAGCAGGGGGGTCAAACATAGGGGCCCCCAGGCTAGATCTGGCCCACATGATGTATTGAGAGCGTTCTGCCCAGAAGCACTGGTGACTGCATTGATCACCAGCATCTCTGAGACTGGGCAGCATGCACTCGTCCATTCACATGACTGCCAGGAAGAGTTCATCTGAAGCCCTCCTCCAACACAAAGAGGGGTTGTGAATCAACCCTGGGAGTTTGGACTGAGTGGGTGGAGGGCTTTTGCTGAACGGTGTTGTGTTTGTGCATGTAGCGAGGGAAGCAGTCACTGAGAGCAAAACGTCTAGACAGTCTCCCCTGGGGAGAAGCCTGGGGAGAGGTTTTAGGGTCAGGGGGCAAACTGAAAGTTGGTACTGTGAGCAAAAGGTGGTATTTCCAACTATGTGAGTTCTTCTGCAGTTTGAGGCACAGGATTTTGTACTTCCTTCATTGTAATTAAACAAAACTACATAAAAATACCTGACTGCCACCAATTTCTGCTCTCCACTGGACCGTCCACCAGGACCTCAAACTTTGACTAGCCTCCTGGGGTTATGTGAGGAGTGGGATCCGGTTTCCAAGGAGAGAGCATGTGAGCCGGTATTTCTGTGGAATCAAGATGGAACAAAACATGGAAAAGGCTTGCAGTAATCAAAAATAGCCAGCAGCATTTAAAACAAGCCCTAAAGCGGGGGTGGAGACTTCCCAAGAGGCATTAGGACAAGAGCTGAAGGTTTCCCAGAAAGGGCTGAGAGACAACTTGCAGGCCAAGATGAGATCCCCGTTGGAGCAGCAGCTATGAAGTGCCTGGGCAGTTTGGCAAAGCCAGTTGGAATGGTGAAACAGATTGATGAGGTGACCAACAACTGGACTGCCATAGGCAAACCAGTGGAGACTAAGCAAGCTTTAACCAACTGGGAATCTGCTGAGATGAACTGCAGTGCGGTCTTAAGGAGCTGACAATTCAGGTGCAGAGGAAATCAAAGGGTTGCTGACCACAGAGGAAAGCCGATGCCTGGATGAAGAACTGAGCCAGCTAGAGGATGTGGGTAAGACTGGATATTTACTAGTTTTCTACTTTTTTTGTAATCCACAGCAGCCCAAATGGGAGAGGTTGGTCTGTCCCAGTGTAGATGAGGCAAACCACAGTATCTTTGAGGGAAAAGCTCCCTTGGAAGCGTCTATGATTCAACTCTACGGTATAGCACCGATGAACAGCTGAGAGGAAGGACAGGAAGGACAAGAAGGGGCATTACTCACAGCCCACATGTGTGGCCCAGCTCTGATTGGGCTGCAGATCTTACCACTGAAAAATAGACTGTCTTATCCAGATCTGATACAATCTCTTGACATCTGGTCTGGAGCTAGCCCTCAACCTGAGCTAGCCATCAACCTGAGCAGGCCAGGGCCCAACCAAGAGCTAAAGCAGAGGGAAAGAAGAAACTCCATCTGAACTGGCGGAGACGTGCATTCATGGCATATCCAGATAACACCGTGGCCTTCCAGCATATGAAAATGGGCCAATTTATAGATCCTCAGTGGGACTTGGACTTGCAGAGGAGGATCAGTGAAAAGAGGCCAAAGATACACTGAGAGGCTGGAGGACCTGGCCGTGGAACTAGAATCTTTTCTTGCAGACATTCACCAGACAAGGAAGAAAGCAGCTGCTAGTGAGGAAGAGGGAAGCTCTGCATCTGATGTGTAGGATGAAAGAGGGGATTTTAATCTGGTTCATAGCTATATTGAATGATGAGAGAGAAACTGATATATTTGGTTTGGAAAAAAAGAGAAATGGACACACATGCAAACATTAAAGGAAATGGTTCCGTTAAATGCTGGCATGGTGCCTAAATGTCAGGCTGGCCAACACAGACTACCATAAGTGGTTAATGAAAGTCTCTCTCTCTCTCTTCTAGTTTGGGAAATGAGCTGAAAGGGCAAAGCTTGGTGGAAGTACCAGGATCAACACCAGCTATTTTTGTTTAGATGTCAGCATTTGAACAACAATCATGGGAGTTTGACTACAGTGGGATCAGCACAATGCACAGCAGTGATTGCCACTGACTCAGGCATGCCACTGAACCAGACATGCTAACACATTTAGGGAAGCAGGGTTCCAAAACTGAACCATCTAATGGGTTTCAAGTAGAGACAGTGACTGGGGTGCGGGCATGTGTCCCAAACCGAGTTTGAAAAAGAGACCGCTGGAATCCGAGCAGGAAGTCTGGGTGGCTGACACAGTGCATGAGTTCATAATTGGCTTGCATTTCATTGTGGCTAATACCGGTGGGATCAGGGCCAGGAAAGGTGACTTACAGAGTCAGTTGGGGAAATTCTCTTTAAAGACAGGTGAGACAAATGGGGTATAGGCAAAGGCAATTGATTTGCAGTGAGAGAACTATCCTGCCCCAGATATCTCACTAACAGGTAACCCACTAACTCCCTCACTAGCTGCTTTGTTTTCCCTTCTTTGTTCTCCCCCTCTCCTACCTTCCTTTCCTCCCTCAAATTGGGAGGGATGCAGTAGAGTTATAGCCATACTGGTCCCAGGATATTAGAGAGATGAGATGTGAGATGTAATCTCTCTCTAGATATATAAAAAGTTTTTCCTGACAGATAACAGAATGTTCCTGACAGGTGACAGCATCATGTCATCATGTCCTGAGTGTCAACAGGCACAGGCTCTCTCAGCAAAGCAAAAGCGGCCAGAGAGAGGAGAGTAGCCGAGCGTAGTGAGCAGAGGGTGCAGCCCCCTAGTAGGTTTTATTGAACCAATTTCTTTTGGGGAGAGATGAGCCTTCTCCAGTCTGGGACATGTACTCAAAGGGCAGGGTCACACTGCAATGGCACAGTTCTGCCATTGGCTTAATAACTCCACCTCTGCAGGGCATCCTCACCAGCAGCACTGCAGTTCCTCACACACCCTGTCTCTCATATCCTGGGACTGACAGGGCTACAAAACCTTTGCACATGCCAATTTCTGCAATCAGCTGGAATGTCCCCAGTGCCCCAAACTAGAGTAGCTGCTCAAGTTGAAAGGTGCCAGTGCTGTATTCCCATTGCCCAAAACTGAGCTTTCCTTTAAAAAAATAAAACCGCGTCTATCCCCCTTGCCTGCAGAGATAATGTTCCAGATGTGAACTGAGAGGAAGGCATGAAGTGCTGTCTGCCTCAGTGTGCAGAGATCCTGAAGCAATGACTCGTCCGGGGGGGGCGGACGGGGGACGACATTGTGAAATTTGCCAGCCCCTATTCATCTGATTGGAGTATCAGCTTAAAAGTCCAATGAGCGCCAATGTTTTGTCATCATTAGCTATTTAAGAGCTGGCCATTTTAGAAATGGAGTGGGAGTAGGGGGTGGTGAGAGTGAAGCTAATTGGGTTGACATTTGGGAATTATTGCAGAGAAGGAAATGCTGAGAAAGGAACAGAGGAGACTCAAAAAGACAGGGAAGGGACTGAGAGAGAGAGGTGATGGGGGAAGGAAGAGACACAAAGGGTGGGTATAGCATTGATCTAAATAGAAGCAGATTTTCTTCACAGTGAATGCAACAAGAAGGCATTGAATAAATAATAAACAGCTGAATTCTCCCTTTGATTCCTTTGAAACCCTCTGCTGACACTAGCGGGCTTTCCACTGTGCACGCAGGAATAACTTAGAGGGTTCATCCTTCTCCCCCAGTGAATCTGATCGCCTGTTCTTCAGCCCGTATTGGAATGGAGATGGGAAGTGGGGTTTTGCCTCTGACGCTGCCTCCATCCTTCCTTCTCTCAGGCCAGATTAAATCTCTTCCCTCTCTTTTCTCAGCTTCAAGGACCTAGAGGGTCGCCTACAGAGCCTCCAAGACACCTGCAGTCGGCTCCCCAAGGACAACTACAACAACCTGAGGTAGGGGCCAGGGATCTGTCAGTCTAGGCTTGGTGCTCTGCCCATCTCCATGGTATCGCAATGTATCAGCCGGTGAGTGATCCCTTGTCTTCTGTGACCAGGGCCTACAGTCCCCAAAGCATCTTCCCCTCAGCTACTGCATGGCTCCCAGGCAGCCAAAGACCAGGCCAGGGACTCTTTAGCTGGAGTTTGCCGACCCTCCCCTCAGACCTAGGAGGGGACACCTGGTCTCCTACACATCAGTGCAGAGCACTCCCACTGAGACCTGGGCTGGTCTCCATGCTATTGGCAGCCCCTTTGTTCTGAGAGAGAGAAGGAGATCCTGGTGGCTATGCAGAGCACAGATTCCTCCGGCCATAAGGGGCAGCATTCCCCCGGTCTTCACTAACTCCCTCCCTTTTCCAACAGGTATCTGATCAGGTTTCTAGCCAAGCTGGCTGAACATCAGGAGGTGAATAAAATGACCCCTAGCAACATCGCCATCGTCCTGGGCCCCAACCTGCTGTGGTCACAGCAGAGCGAAGGGTAACGCACGGGGCTCCCCGGAGCATCAGCAAACGGGGGCTGATCTAGGGCATGACCCTCTCTGCCATATCCTCTGAGTGTCTCCTCTACCAGCCTGCCCACCAAACAAGCTCTGTAGCCGGGAAGCAATACCAGCCCTGGCTGGGATTGATTAACCAGAAGAGGCAGTTTGAGAGCTTTTAGAGGAAGGGAATTTAAATACCAATGGTCCATAGAACTCGGTTCTGACCGGCAGCATCTACTGCTATTCCCATCCTAAACTCCACTAAGGTACCACACTCCTGATCTAGCACACACCCCTCTGTTCCAGTCCTCGGCCCCTGCCTCTGCTCTGCAAATGCACTCCAGGCTACACAGGATGCACCTCTTTCTGTGGCAGGCCTGGCCCACCAGCCCGCTCTGCTAATGTGCCTCAATCCTGGCCTTTCATTGTCCTGTCCCCAGCTCCCCTCTCAGCATCCTGACCTGCAAATGCCCCCTGCTATTCCAGTGCTAGAATCACCCCTCTCCCCCCACAGTTCTGATCATTCACCTCCCTGCTGACCTGCTCCCCTCTGCCAAGCCTCGTCCCCCAGCACACAGCTCTGCCAATATCCAGGGGGCAGTGGCTGAGACCCAGCACATCTATGGCATGTGTGACCTATGACAGAGCTGGAACCCAGGTTTCTCAAGGTAAAAGGGGCAGTGGGCTCATTGCATGGTGCCATGTAGCCCCTCCTTGGTGCTGCACCCCACAGCTGTGCTTTTTGCTGCAAACCCTGGCACTAATAGCACCCCACGAGTTTTTGACTAGCAATAAAAACAGGTTCATTCTGCTGCCTCCCATGATTCCCCTCTAAAGAGGCTCCCTGTTCAGCAGACAGTCAAAATGGCCAGAGGAGGAGCAACCATTGCATTAATTGTCCATCTCTCGCTCCATCCTAATGGCTCCTTTCTCTCTGCCCCTCAGAGACCCGTTGCAGGCGCTAGACATGGCCTCTGTGTCCTCCATCCAGGTGGTGGGCATTGTGGAAGCCCTGATACAGAATGCCAACACTCTTTTCCCTGGAGGTAAGGCATTGCTGGTGCTTGACTGCAGGGCTTCCCTTAAGGCATGTCCAGTGGGGCCGGTGCTGGTGTAACGCTGATAGGTGGAACTGAACCTGGGACATCTGGAGCTTAGTGCATGAGTCTTTACAGCTTGAGCTAAAAGCCAGCTGGCTCTCAGCTAAGGCTGTGTAGAGCAAACTCATTCTCTCACTCTCTATGAGTGGTCTAAGTACCACAACATGGGACAGTGAACCACACCCAGAAGGTGTGTGTGTTACACTGGAGTACCAGTGTTGAACAGGTGGGAATTGGACCTTCTGTGCTCAGACTCCGAGATGAGAAAGGTACAAAGCAAAAGAAGTGAGCCATGCTGATACAAAGAGGTGTCCTGACTAGGTCTGTACCCTTCTGCTTCCCTGCCCTCACTGGTACGTTGGCAACTGTACAAAAATAAAACCAGTTTAAAGCTGAGTAAGGAGATCTGAGGCAATTCAGCTAGGCTCCCCATCCTCACCCAGCTGTCCTCCCAGGGGCTTGGAAATGGAAATGGCCCATGATGTGAAATTTGGGGTTCTGGCTTCAGAACTGGATAGATGAGAACCAGGAGAAACCCTTGGGAGCCTTGTATAGTGACAAAAGGCTGCTCTGGGGCTGAACCACTGTACTGATATCAGCAGTGACCTGCCTTCTATGGTGTGGCATCCTATTCTCACCCTCTCTGCAATCCAGGCACCAACCCCGGGACCTGCTGGGCATGCTTTGGGAGGCCCATGGAGCTCCTGGGGCCGGAGTCTGTACAGATGGGGGCTACACAGCTGCTCCAGGCTGCAGGAAGATGTGGGCATGGTTGTTGTCCAGAAGCTCAGTGCATTGGGATGGGGAGCTTCCTGCTCCCATACTTGAAGCCAATGCGCTCGATATGCACTTGATACTTCTAGGGGAATTCTGTACACAGAACATTTAAAAATTCTATGTACCCTAAGTTTTAAAATTCTGCATATCTTATGTGTCAAAATAACACAGTATAATCACACCTGTGTCTATTATTTTGACAATTTAATTAAAAGTACCTGGCACCGACAATGGCTGACCATAGAAAAGATTCAGGAAATGTTTTGTGACAACTAGATTCCTTACTAGGCATATCAACAGAGAACTTTGAGTAATAACTTATTTAAACTGCAATACAGAACCATATTTCCCACACCCCTCAGAAGCAGTGCAAAGGCTGGGGGAGTGAGGGGTAATAGAGGCAAAGGGAAGTCAGTTGCTGGGAAGAAGCCTGGGAATGAACATGGAGTGCTGGGGGGGGGGGGCAGACAAGTATGAAACGGGTTATTTTGGGAGGCGAGGGATTGTTAGGGAGTTGAGGAGCTTCTGACACTTAGCCCCTCCCACTTCAATCACACACATCTGCACCATCTCCATGTATGCCTGTACTCTCATTCAGCCATCCTCTCCTTCCAGTACCATGTGGCCCTGCACCCCCACTCAGCCACTCCCCTCCTTCCCTTTGTCTCCATGTGGCCCTGCAACCCCTCCCCTCTATCTCCATGTGGCCCCACATCCCCCTGTCCACATGTGTCCTGCACTGAGCTGCCTGACCAGGTCTCTCTTCTGATGCCACAGCAGCCTCTGGTGGGAGAAAGGTAATATTGCAGCACCTTCCTGGCAGCATCTATCTTCCGTAGGGAAAAAAAAATCTGTGGGGGTCATGAATTCTGCATGTGTGTGGTGGCACAGAATTCCCCAAGGAGTAACTCAAGAAAAATAGAGTGAGGGGTCCTTGTGGGTAGGTGAGTGGGGCCTGCAGGGTGGTCTCTGTTGGCTGCGCTCTCCCAGACCACAATCCAAAGCCCACTGGAGTGAACAGGATTCTCCATGTGGTCTTTGGATCAGGTCCCTAGCACTCTGCATGGGAGTGCTTTGCTCTGGGCATATGCAGATACCAAGGAGGGGGCTTCTGTGCTTGCTTGCATTTTATTTATTTATGTATTTATTTAATTTTATTTAAGAGATAGACTTTAACGTCTCGGGCATGTTCACTCCTCCCACGGAGATCAATTCCAGTCAAGCCTCACCAGTGGAAGAGCCCTCACCTCAGCCCCTTCCTGCCAGCACCCCCTCTCTAACAGCTGGAGAAGTGTAAGTATCTGGCAGAGCGTGAGACTGGGCCGTTCTGTTGGCCCCATGCCTGTTGCATAAAGAGGGACAGTGGCATGGCACCAGGGACAGTGGCATGTTCTATAGGCAACTCTAGACACACACTGAATCTGCCTCACTTGCCTAGAGGTTTGGAGAAATTCACAGCCCATCACCAGAAGAGGAACTGCTCCATAATGCCCTGATAGGTGCTTTCTTTGGAGGCAGCACAAGAGGAAGGATGATCCAGCAGTTAGTGGGCAATAAGAAGGCAGTCCCTGCTGGGCCGCCACCACTATATTTACCTGAACTTCTGCAGGTACTGGTGATTGCAGCTCCTATTGGCTGCAGATTGTCATTCCCAGCCAATGGGAGCTGCGGGAAACAGCACGGACCAGGACACCACTTCCTGCAGCTCCCATTGGCCATGATCTGCAGCCAGCGGGAGCTGCAAGCACCCAGACCTGTGGACACCCTGGCAAACTGGATCTGGCCTACAGGCTGGTATTTACCTGTCACTAAGTTAGTGCCCTAGCCTGGAACTGAGGAAACAGACTTCTTGTGTAATGTTGGGCACCTAATTTGCTCTATCTGTAAAACGTGCATAGTGGCACTGCCCTTCATTGGGGCCCTGTGAGGTTCCGTACACTGAAGATTACAACAGCACTCAAATGCTAAAGATAATGGAGGCCATATGAATAGATCCTACTACAGTGAGGTTCAGTATCAGCTCCTCCTCCTTTTCTCTCTGTCCCCCTCTCCCAGCCCCAGTGACCTGGATAAGCTGCATTCAGGGCTGTCCCTTGGGGAGCATGGGGCCAGGAAAGCCCCACTCCATCCCCAAGCTCTGCCCGCACAGTACCCCTGCACTTGGCCCCTCCCCTGTGCAACATAACATGGGGGATTACTGGGGGCCAGTGGTAGCAAGAGTTGCCCCTCTGCACATACCACAGCAATAGGAGCCTGAGCAGCTTGCTCTGCTCCACCCCACCACCTTCCCAGCCCACTGTGCCTCGCTTCTTTGTGGCAGCCAGGGCGCGCTGCAGCCTGGGAAAAGCTGCATGCAGCAAGCCAGGAGAGGGCGGCAGGGTGGGGCGGGGCGGAGCAGGCTGTTGGGCCACTCCAGCTCCTGGCGCTGCAGTCAGGGATGGGCGGGGCGACCCATGCTGCCACCCCACGCCAGATCCATCCATAGGACAGTTGAGGCGGCCCCACCCGCGCGCCCCCACACGGCGCGCAGGGGGCGAACCACTCTATGGACAGGACAGCCCTGGCTGCACTACTGATTTATATCATTCGTATAGCTGCCTCTGCATCCTACACCGTTGTCTCCTAGCTATGTCCCTTCAGAGTGTCAAAGCGGGGAACCCCCTTGCCCCACAGGTCACAGGAGGAGAGGTCTATCTGCTTCCACAGCAAAGCAAGCCTTTAGCATGGTCATCCTGCACCAGTGGCTGCTTGCCCCGTCCCCTGGCTGCACTACTGATTTATATCATTCGTATAGCTGCCTCTGCATCCTACACCGTTGTCTCCTAGCTATGTCCCTTCAGAGTGTCAAAGCGGGGAACCCCCTTGCCCCACAGGTCACAGGAGGAGAGGTCTATCTGCTTCCACAGCAAAGCAAGCCTTTAGCATGGTCATCCTGCACCAGTGGCTGCTTGCCCCGTCCCACCTCCCATCTGTATGATTCATCCTGGAACTCTGCACACGCATGTGTGTGTGTTAACAGCATGGGCAGAAGTTAGGTGTGTCAGACACACGTACTTGAGGCCCCTAGTTCATGTCACTAGCAGATGCGATTACAGAGACCTGACTTGCCCTTCCCTCGCTGCAGGAAAGACCCTGAGGTGCCCTCTGGACCAGTCTCTCCAAAAGTGACTAAAACTTCTCCTGAGGCTGCCGACTCCTTGCTGCCTCGGCCTCTGGCTGATGACGCCTCACGCAAAAGTAAGTCTGGCAGGTTGACACACCTCGGTGCATATGAACTGAATCGCTTCCGGCATACGGTCCCAGCACCGATATGCTACCGAAGGAGCTGCAACTCAGTGGGTTCACCAGTCTGCTGAGGTGGGTGCCTCATCTGGGTGAGGTCCACACTGGGGTACCTTGATGTCAGGGTCCTCCCTCAGTGGCATCACATGATGGTCCCCATCTCGCCCTGTTCCAAGGTTGGCCTCTCTTCACCAGCCTGCTTGTTCTAGTTGTGAAGGGGATGCTGGCAGGCCAGAATGTTAGGCACTATCTCCAAGCAAGGCTATGACCCAGAGATGTGGGGAGGTGGAACTAGCCAGGAGACTTGAGCTGGTCCTGGCTGGGCATATTGGGATATAACACTCCCTGGCTGGGCATATTGGGATATAACACTCCCTGTGGAGCTGGGAGGGTTTGTCAGGCTGGGGCGGATGAGCCCTGGCCTCTCCAGCTGATGGGCATCTCCCCAACCATAAAACCAGTTTCTGTCATGCCCTGATGACCTATGGCCCATCTAGTGCAAATAGAACACCATTGTGGGGCATTATTGCCTATAAGCCTTTCGGCTGACCCATCCCACCCTGCCTGTGGAGGCAGCAAGCCCATCCCCTGGCTGTGGGGAAGGTCTTTGCACTTTGCACTGGTGCCTCTGGTCACAGTGCTGCAGGCAGTCCCATAATTATTTGTGAGATTTGCATCAAGGATTAGGGACCGTTGGGCGGGGCACTGTGTGAATACAGCATGAAAAGCTGGACCTTGCCTTCTCCAGCGCAGCCTGGCTGGAAGATGAGGAGCTACCTCATGGGACCTGTGTGTGGGTGATGGGAGTACAAGACGGGAAAGACAGGAGTCAGGCTGTAGGCCTGCTGTGGATGGAAAACAGATGTGTAAAAGGAGTTGTGTTTCCCTGTTTGTTTTGCAGCGAAGCGAGCTGCCCCAACCCGACCCATAGTGCCCCCACCGCACGTGCATTCTCGAACCACAATTCATCTGCCTCACAGCAGCCCCAAAGCCCTCCCTCGCCGACACATAACTGGGTCCTTACGAGCCCCCAATATCCCACCTCCACTTCCACCCCAGCCTGCTAGACGCCAGAGTCGAAGTGCCCCGCTGTCCCCCAAACCCCCACTGACCCCAGACTCCATGAGGGATGAGAGCTCTGCAGTTAACCAACCTCCTGCGTCTAGCTACAGCACAAAACCCACTGCATACTGCACCCCAGAGGCAGAAGGACTGGAGAAGCCATCATCTCCAAGAGGGCCAGGCTCTCCAACCATACCCCAGCGAACGGGCCAGTCCCCAGACAATGACTGAAAGCTTTGAAGACATAAATTCTCCTGTCTGCCTGCCAAGGATCCAGAGAGGAGAGACTGGAATTTGTGGCTCTTCCTTCTTTTCAAAAACAACCCATCTGTATCCAAAATGACTTGGAGCTATTTGAAGCATATTCAGGTAAATGGAATGTATGCACTAAACTGCAGCTGATTCACCCCATGGAGACCATGACTGAGATGAGTTTCCAACAAATGAGGTCTGGATCCACAGGGTTGTTCTGATGTTTTCTACATTCGCAATGTAATAATTTTGTACCTGTGGGACCAGTTTTGTCTCAAATGAGTTCCAATAAGCTCCTCCCACCAAGAATCTCTGACCTTTACATGATGACATTTGGAGTAGGATTATTTTTTTAATATGTTGCTGATAAGTTATTTGAAGACTTGGGGCCAAATTTATAATTGGTGTAAGCATGACCTAACTAACTTGAGTGGGTTGTGTCTGCTTTCAGTAAAGCTGAATTTGGTCCTGGGATTGCATGGGAGAAAACCCAGTAAAACAAATGCTGCTTTCTGTCTGTTGTGTTTTGCAGTGTCTTCCTGTTTCCTTTGGTAATGTACTTTTAAATATATACCTATATTTTAACAAAGAAGACTCAGCTTTGTCACACCAAATGCTTGCTGGGCTGATCCCTTCCTTCCCTTTGCTTCTTCAACTCTCTTCACAGTTAATACTGGGAGCTAGGAGACCATCCCAGCACCGAGTTATTAGTACCTGCCTGCAGTTTTCTCTTTCTAGACTCTGGGAATTCAATAGCATTTAGTTCTCTTCAGTACATGAAAATCACATAAGCTCTGAGTTTCCTCTCTGCCCAGGAGAGCCTGAAATTGAGAGGGCAGATTGATGGTGGGAAATCCTGTGTATAGTGCAGTATACAGGACTCACCGGTAAGAATTGGGACAGGCAGTGCACCCTGACATGGACCTGGAATTTAGAGGGTACCAGCTGGGCAGCTTGGGTGCTATTAGACATCATTGGTTAGAACTGATAGATGGCTAATGAGGGCCAGTCTCAGTCTCCCGTGACCTCACATGCTCTACTAGCAGGTTTCTTCCTAGCTCTCTGGCAACACCCTCCAAAGAGCAGTGGTTTCCTGCCTGCTGCTTTCATTATGGGCCCTGCCCAGGGAACTGCACCGTTTAGCCTGGGTTTTGGCACAGGGATGCCCCTGGCCACGCACAAGCAGCCACCCCTGCAGGAGCGTCTCTATCCGCCAACACATCCAGCTGCTCCCCTGGCCCCTCTCCTGCAGCGCTGCGCACCCTGTGCTGGGGCGGGGCTGTTTGTACAGCGCCCTCCATTTCTCGGCGCGTATTAAACAGACCTTTGTGCCTGTCGCTCTTTTGGTCCCGCCCCGTTCATTTCTACGAGTATCTCATTGGTCATTCGAAGCCCCTCCCCGGTAACCGTCAATCTAACCATGCTCCAGCTCCCGCGCATTTTACACTATGGGGCTGAGGTGGGTGCCTCATCTGGGTGAGGTCCACACTGGGGTACCTTGATGTCAGGGTCCTCCCTCAGTGGCATCACATGATGGTCCCCATCTCGCCCTGTTCCAAGGTTGGCCTCTCTTCACCAGCCTGCTTGTTCTAGTTGTGAAGGGGATGCTGGCAGGCCAGAATGTTAGGCACTATCTCCAAGCAAGGCTATGACCCAGAGATGTGGGGAGGTGGAACTAGCCAGGAGACTTGAGCTGGTCCTGGCTGGGCATATTGGGATATAACACTCCCTGTGGAGCTGGGAGGGTTTGTCAGGCTGGGGCGGATGAGCCCTGGCCTCTCCAGCTGATGGGCATCTCCCCAACCATAAAACCAGTTTCTGTCATGCCCTGATGACCTATGGCCCATCTAGTGCAAATAGAACACCATTGTGGGGCATTATTGCCTATAAGCCTTTCGGCTGACCCATCCCCCCCTGCCTGTGGAGGCAGCAAGCCCATCCCCTGGCTGTGGGGAAGGTCTTTGCACTTTGCACTGGTGCCTCTGGTCACAGTGCTGCAGGCAGTCCCATAATTATTTGTGAGATTTGCATCAAGGATTAGGGACCGTTGGGCGGGGCACTGTGTGAATACAGCATGAAAAGCTGGACCTTGCCTTCTCCAGCGCAGCCTGGCTGGAAGATGAGGAGCTACCTCATGGGACCTGTGTGTGGGTGATGGGAGTACAAGACAGGAAAGACAGGAGTCAGGCTGTAGGCCTGCTGTAGGGACCATACGGATGGAAAACAGATGTGTAAAAGGAGTTGTGTTTCCCTGTTTGTTTTGCAGCGAAGCGAGCTGCCCCAACCCGACCCATAGTGCCCCCACCGCACGTGCATTCTCGAACCACAATTCATCTGCCTCACAGCAGCCCCAAAGCCCTCCCTCGCCGACACATAACTGGGTCCTTACGAGCCCCCAATATCCCACCTCCACTTCCACCCCAGCCTGCTAGACGCCAGAGTCGAAGTGCCCCGCTGTCCCCCAAACCCCCACTGACCCCAGACTCCATGAGGGATGAGAGCTCTGCAGTTAACCAACCTCCTGCGTCTAGCTACAGCACAAAACCCACTGCATACTGCACCCCAGAGGCAGAAGGACTGGAGAAGCCATCATCTCCAAGAGGGCCAGGCTCTCCAACCATACCCCAGCGAACGGGCCAGTCCCCAGACAATGACTGAAAGCTTTGAAGACATAAATTCTCCTGTCTGCCTGCCAAGGATCCAGAGAGGAGAGACTGGAATTTGTGGCTCTTCCTTCTTTTCAAAAACAACCCATCTGTATCCAAAATGACTTGGAGCTATTTGAAGCATATTCAGGTAAATGGAATGTATGCACTAAACTGCAGCTGATTCACCCCATGGAGACCATGACTGAGATGAGTTTCCAACAAATGAGGTCTGGATCCACAGGGTTGTTCTGATGTTTTCTACATTCGCAATGTAATAATTTTGTACCTGTGGGACCAGTTTTGTCTCAAATGAGTTCCAATAAGCTCCTCCCACCAAGAATCTCTGACCTTTACATGATGACATTTGGAGTAGGATTATTTTTTTAATATGTTGCTGATAAGTTATTTGAAGACTTGGGGCCAAATTTATAATTGGTGTAAGCATGACCTAACTAACTTGAGTGGGTTGTGTCTGCTTTCAGTAAAGCTGAATTTGGTCCTGGGATTGCATGGGAGAAAACCCAGTAAAACAAATGCTGCTTTCTGTCTGTTGTGTTTTGCAGTGTCTTCCTGTTTCCTTTGGTAATGTACTTTTAAATATATACCTATATTTTAACAAAGAAGACTCAGCTTTGTCACACCAAATGCTTGCTGGGCTGATCCCTTCCTTCCCTTTGCTTCTTCAACTCTCTTCACAGTTAATACTGGGAGCTAGGAGACCATCCCAGCACCGAGTTATTAGTACCTGCCTGCAGTTTTCCCTTTCTAGACTCTGGGAATTCAATAGCATTTAGTTCTCTTCAGTACATGAAAATCACATAAGCTCTGAGTTTCCTCTCTGCCCAGGAGAGCCTGAAATTGAGAGGGCAGATTGATGGTGGGAAATCCTGTGTATAGTGCAGTATACAGGACTCACCGGTAAGAATTGGGACAGGCAGTGCACCCTGACATGGACCTGGAATTTAGATGGTACCAGCTGGGCAGCTTGGGTGCTATTAGACATCATTGGTTAGAACTGATAGATGGCTAATGAGGGCCAGTCTCAGTCTCCCGTGACCTCACATGCTCTACTAGCAGGTTTCTTCCTAGCTCTCTGGCAACACCCTCCAAAGAGCAGTGGTTTCCTGCCTGCTGCTTTCATTACGGGCCCTGCCCAGGGAACTGCACCGTTTAGCCTGGGTTTTGGCACAGGGATGCCCCTGGCCACGCACAAGCAGCCACCCCTGCAGGAGCGTCTCTATCCGCCAACACATCCAGCTACTCCCCTGGCCCCTCTCCTGCAGCGCTGCGCACCCTGTGCTGCAGCAGGGCTGTTTGTACAGCGCCGGGCACAGAGGTGCGCGCGCCCTGCTGCGTTCGGGGCGGGGCCAGGCGCTGTGCAGACCGCCCCGCCCCCTGCGCCCAGACCTCTGTGCTGCGGCGGGCCGTTCTCCCCGCCTGCCAATCATCTCTTTTTGCCCCGCCCCTCCATTTCTCGGCGCGTATTAAACAGACCTTTGTGCCTGTCGCTCTTTTGGTCCCGCCCCGTTCATTTCTACGAGTATCTCATTGGTCATTCGAAGCCCCTCCCCGGTAACCGTCAATCTAACCATGCTCCAGCTCCCGCGCATTTTACACTATGGGATAGGCTACTGCGTCTGCCACTCTTGTCTAGCCCCGCAGTCCGCGTATTACCTGCTATTTGAGAGGAGCGTGGCCCGCCTCCCTACAGCTGTCTCCCCCTGTGATAGGCTATGCCGGCTTTGGTTCTTTCCGGTTTCTGGTTCAGAGCCGCGTCCCTGCGGGCAGCCGCTGATTGGTTTAAAACACCTATCAATCCTTCCGAACCTTTCATCTCATTGGTTCTTGAGGACACTCAACCACAACCCCTCTGTATAGGCGGGGCGAGTTCTCCCTTCCCCATCAAACCATTTCCGCCCTATTCATTGGCTTCACCCCGTCTCGTGGGCGGGCTGTCGCATTGGTCTATCACGCTTCCTCCCGCCCCACCCGCCGGCGGTGATTGGACGGCGTTGGCCCAGCCCCCTGCAGCGGGGGGGGGCCCGCGG